GCGTCACGCGCTCATCTTAGGTAGCATTTCTGCTTATGTATGTATGTCAACTTCAACGATATCACCATTTTTAACAGCTGCTTGTTTTCGTTATAACACTGAACGCTGCGTCCGTACAGTTAATATTGAGCAGCTCAAGAGAAAGGTTGGTTCTGTCACAAAAATTCGGTTTAATATAATATACAGCAGTGCGAACAATTTGTTGAGTGAATTGAAACAGTGGATATAAGACTTTTATATTAATTTATTTTATTTTAAATTGTGAAGTGAATTAGTTCATGAAAGAAATTAACAATTTTCAGTTATCATTCATACTTTCCCAGTGCCCAGTGAGCACACTTCAAATCGCCTCATCACAACGTACGACGTTGCTGTACGAAGAGAGTAAAGCGATGTCTTTTCTGACTTTTTGATTGCCGTGAGCGACGTTCAGTCAAAATGGCTGCTTGGGCTATTTATTGAATTCATTTTGCATAATTATGTGTAAAAAATGCGTTACAATCTTCAATAATTTGTTGTTCTTTAATAACGCACGGCCAGTAAACTAAAAATGCGCGCGTTTTTGTCCTATTCACATATTTTACTTTGTTTCCGTATTTGTATTTGTTTTTACTTGGCATTTAACAGCGTTTCTGCTTTGCCCCTTCATTTGTGCTCTCTCACTCGCTCTCGCTCTCTTACTCTCAGAGAGGGAGAGAAACTGGCCAGCCGGCAATTTATCTGCTGCCGACGTCGCTGTCGCGCTGCCTGAACAACGTTTGCTGCTGCTTTTCGTTTCCTTGCCTTTTTGCTTGATTCACTCAGTACAGTTGAAGTCAGTAGAGAAACGTGAAAGGTTGGTAGACGCACGCAGTCCAAAAATAAAAAACTAAATTAATTTTGTGCAAGACCTTAAATTTAAAGTGTGACAATTTAGTTTTCATTTCAATTATTGAAAAGATTCATTAAATAAAATAATAATTGTTTACATAAAATGAAGGCGAACTATATTTAAAAATTTTACAATGTGCAATTTGTTGAATGACAGGCCAATTATAATAATTAAATAGTGAAAATGATGTTTTAACATCAATTTTAAAAGCATATTTAACAGACTTTTTAGTTAATTTTCGCCTGCTGCTTATTTTTTCACCATACAAGTTTGCTCTTTGCAGTACATTTTTCATACAAAACGTCGCTTGGCCCTGGGCCTGTGCTTGCTGTGCCAGTGCAAAAGAGCGCGTCGCATACACGACGCTGCTGTACCACACACAGGCCCAAGCAAAGCAGCCAGTCCGAGGCGGCAGTAGTACATACAGAAAAAAGTGTTGCCATTTCGGTCGTTTGCACTCAGCGCTGTGGGAGCAGCATAAAGAAAATGGCTGCTAATATTCATAATATTGTAATTTGGCATTTAAATGCTGATTTTTTGTTTTTATTAATATTGATATGTGAATATTGTTTAGGCTGCGCGCACTCTGTCGTTTCTAGTTAGAAAGACGCGCGCGCGCGCTTTTCAGAATTGTCAGCTTCGACGCCAGCACCAGTGTATTTGTTTGTGTGTGTGTGTGTACGTGAGCAGTATTGCCATCTCTTTTGATGCGTTCGGCCATTGCTGCATGTATATGTGCCTGCTTGCTTGTGTGTGTGTATGCCTGCTGTATGGTGGTGGCTTCTCTTTGCTCTTCTTTTGAGCGGCATTTCATCAGCGTACACATTTCTTATTCTGCAACTGATACTAATATATTTTTTTTTTTTTTTATTGATATTTCATTACAGCTCGAAGCTTAGCAAATTAATTTAGTAACTTACTACTTACACACATAAAGACACAAAATAAAATGGCCGATAAACCAAAACGTCCGCTCTCTGCTTATATGCTGTGGTTGAACAGCGCACGCGAGGGGATCAAACGTGAGAATCCTGGCATCAAAGTCACCGAGGTGGCGAAGCGTGGAGGTGAATTATGGAGAGCAATGAAGGATAAGTCGGTGAGTTGATAAAAAAAAAAATCAATTTATATATGATTAATTTGATGACTAATTAAATTTCTTTATTGCTTTGCAGGAGTGGGAGGCAAAGGCAGCCAAGGCTAAGGACGATTACGATCGTGCCGTGAAGGACTTTGAGGCCAATGGTGGTGGTGGTGGTGCGCCGAATGGAAACGCCAAGAAACGCGCAAAGCCTGCCAAAAAGCCAGCGAAAAAAAGCAAAAAGGAAGAATCCGAAGATGACGATGATGAGGAGAGCGAATAAAGCATTACATATTACTTTGTTGGCATAATTAAGGAAAACCACAAGAACATCTGTAGTGGTCCTCCTCCTGATTCAGTCAATCGCATTTCGTCTAAGCTACACCACCAACCCACACACACTGCACACAAACCACATACCCAAAAAAAAGAAAAGAAAAACAAACAAAAAACCCATAACAAAGAGACCACCTCCAATAATATCAAAAGAAACAGGAATGTTGCTGTCCGAAATACGCAACAGCAACAACAACAAAATGAACATATGCAAAATTGTATTTATACTTAAGAATTTAAGTTTATAGTAGGCGAGTCTTTTAGTATACACATTTCACGAGAGGACAAAACACTTCCGTTTTTTTTTTTTTTAACGTCGAGCTCAACGCGTGCCGGATTTTTGGATCCCGCCGCATTAACGAAACTCAAGAAAGACGGCGGTAAAACAAATGAAATTGATCGATTTGTGTATCTTGCATAAAAATTTTGTAAATTAAACGATAACGTAATTCCATTATAAATAAACAAAAAGAAAAGAAAAGAAAAAAAAAAAATAAAAAATACAAAACATAAAAATTGTTCTGAAAAACTATATACTGTACGTGAGTAGAATTTACTCACACAACAACAAGAAAAACACATTGAGAAACGTTGCTAGGGTCGGCCAAAACGAACGGCACATTTACCGTCTATTATATAGATCGATATATACCAATAGCTCTATGTGCGTAATGTTAAACAAGTTATAACAGATTTAATGAAAAAGATTGTACAAAAATGCAGAAAAAAAAAA